CTGTAAACTTTTCACCCTCCCACAATCTCAAAAATGATATTATAGTACACAGACTAACTCTATTAGACTCTGAAACATTTTCCCTGAGGCTGTTAGACTCCAGTAGGAGATGGTTAGGTAGGTGCAGTTAGAGATCTCGGAAAATGCTAACTTTAGCCTGATAGCACTGAAAGCAACGTCCCACCCTCCCTGCAAATCGCTGTCCAAAGCCACGCCTCCAGAACGCATATACGCTGACAGACCAGATGACCAAAGACAACATTACTACAATACATGTGTCATTCACCGGTGAGAAAACCTTATAGCACAGTTAGTAAAAGTACTACAATACCAGGAAGGAAGGTCAGGTTGTTGATGTTTGCCTGCCATTGTCGCTCTGTCTGCAGAGCGTACATGAAAGCGCTGATGACCTATCCTGTCTGCAGAGTGCGCAGAGGTATGCAAATACATATGTTGACAAGCAGGTAGGAAAGCCAATCAAATCGCTCGAATCGAGCGTTTTGATTGGACGAACATTTCTCGGTCCTAGCCTTCCACAGAAAATATAAATACATTTAGACCACTTAACTTAAAGTGTTAGTTCACCCAATAATGAAATTTCTGTCATTAATTACTCACCCTCATGTCGTTTCAAACCCGTAAGACCTTCGTTCATCTTCGGAACACAAATTATGTGACGCAGCTGACACAGAATAGCATACGCTATTTACGTCCAGCTGATACTCTCCAAAATGGCACCAGGGTGATGCGCGGAGTAGACGAATTGTTGAATAAAGTCGTTATTTTTTCTTCTTTTGCGCACAAAAAGTGGTGAACTAAACCTTTAATGATTGCTATCGGGATGTGAAGAGACTTTCAATCAGCATAACAAAAACTGCTTCTGAAGACAATACCCTATTGCACCTTTAACACCCTCATACCTCAATTCCAATTCTTGAAAAATTATTTAAATTCAACCAACGTTGTAATTCCCTACAGTGTTTACGCTGTTCTGTTGAAGTCAACTTGCACTGCAAGTGCATGCTGCCTCTGTTCACATCCAGGATGGATTATGGTCCTGCGAATGAGAGTTAATGTTTAGATAATGAGACATAATAAATCAAATATGAGATAAAAAAAAATCACAATAGCATGATATAATGTTTCAAAATCATGAAATAAAGCTGCAATTACAAGCAGTTCACAATACATTGCAAATAAGATGCTCAGAAGGCACTCTATATACAGTATATACTATACTATACCGGTCAAACGTTTGGGATCAGAACGATTTTTAATGTTTTTTAAAGGAGTTTCTTATGCTCATCAAGGCTGCATTGATTTGATCAAAACTACATGAAAAAAGTTAATATTGTGAAATATTATTATGATGTAAACTTTGATGGCTGATGGAAATTCAGCTTTGCATCACAGAAATAAATTATATTTTAAAGTATATTAAAATAGAAACCATTATTTTATATTGTTATAACATTTTGCAAGATTACTGTTTTCTGTATTTTTGATCAAATGCAGTCTTGATGAGCATAAGCGACTTCTTTAAAAAACATTACATTACATTGAACGGCAGTGTATATATATATATATATATATATATATGTATGTGTATGTGTGTGTGTGTGTATAAAATGTTCCCATGAAGTTATGAAAATGTTCTAAGTATTCTCTTTTTTTTAATGTTTTAGAAAAAAAATTTCTTGGTTGTGCGAAAGTTCATTCCACTGTATCAGTTTGCACTTTGCAGCCATTATAACAATGTTACTTTTGAATGTTCTTTAAACATTGTAGAACAAGTTGTAACATTTAAAAATGTTAGTCGAACGTCTAATTAAAGTTTTTCTGAAAAAAAAATAAAACGTGAACAATGTATAATTAGTGTTTTAGTGCATTAAGAAGATAACTTTGCACTAAATTTGAGAGAAACTTCGCGGAATAACGCTCCCTGTTAGTTGGGATTAATACTGAAGAAGGTCTAGGAACAGATGATATTTCTCATTTCTTATTTCACATTATGTCAACCGTTACTCACACACATTCAAGCACTGTTTGTCTGTCGATATCAAATCTACATCTTCATTGGCTTGTTTATGAGTGTTGGACAATAGTGGGCATTTCAGCTTCATAATTCATCCATTAAAATTGCACAGTATTACTATTTGTGATTTTTGCTATGTATGTTTCCTGAATAATCTTGGAAATAACAAATAACTTGAATCTTTGAGCTTTGATTTATAATAGCAGTTGTTCCACAGCATGTTTTGAGAACATTTCCTCCAGTTTTTCAAGGAAGTATGTAGCTCTTGATGTGCTACAAACCCCAGCAGTAGACACGATTAATGATAGGCCAGTGTTTGAGAAATATCTAATTACTCTCCAGCAGGTCTGGAACTTGTTCCTGCAAGAATTGGTTCATCACTCCTCTCCCGCAGCAACATATGCTGAAACAGCAGCCCTAATAGTAGCACTTAACTGAATAAAAAGAGATCAACTCAAAACTCAACTGGAGGGCTCATAGATAAACGCAGGACCTTGTCAGCTAAAGCTTTTTTGGTAAACCTGTCTTTTGTTATTATTTCTTTTAATGAGGAAAAAATACTGAGTGCACTTGTACATACTTGACATTACAGATAATTATGTCAGGAATTGTAAACAATATGGCAATAATGCATTTGGTGAATATGAGAGTGTTGATTTAAAGTCTTTACAAGATTGTTATGCCAGTGATTTGATGAAAAAAAACATAATTAGACTTTTTAATAAATATAATATGTAAAATATACACATAACATCCATCCTGTCAAATTACACACACACACACACGGTAAAGAGTGCCATTACCATTTGGCTCAAAATGCCTTTTGAGACATTTTGTACCCTCACGGTACACAGTAAAACAGAGCAGGTGATAGAGGAGGTAATGAAACAGTCCAGTCAGCTTTCTGAATACACAAGCACAGAGGCCGTCTGGGGAAATGACATTGCGTAGGAAATTAGATTCCCACTGAGTAAATAGAACATCCAGACTAAGACCGGACTCATTTAACTCATGTAAGAAGGATTCATTTTGCCAGTTCCTACAGTGCTTACAAAGGCAGTTCCAAAAACAAATCTTTATAAAATGATGATTTGTTGATTGAATGATATTGATTTGCTTTCTCATCAGTATCAATCAGCCAAACAGAACATTGGCCATACTTTAGTTTTTTTGGGGGGGATATTGGATATCCTAAATCAATCATTCTGAATGGAAACAAGATAGCAACCTTACATTGCTGAATGGAGCTAGAAAAACATGTTGACCAATATTTCCTCTTACACTAACCAGGACAGCAATATATCAGGCTGCTTGTCTTAAAAACAGATAAGTCAAAAACTATGTTAATTGATGAATAAGTGCAAACAAAAGTGGAACATCATCAAGGGATTCATTACTAACACATAAAAACATGACTTTTTCTTCCAGTTTTACTTGTTTCCTTTCTAAATTAGATTGGGATTAAATATTTCTGAGCTCAGCCATGCACAACGTGTATTTTTTTTTATTGGTAAAAGCTAAATAATAAAGCATACCCGTCTACATTTGGTGACCTTTCTTAATATTGATTGAATAGAATGCCTCAAAAGAAAAGCATAAAGCTGGTATTTTCTTTTACATGGTTACAGAATAAGATTTATCATGAAAAAAAACCTAAGTTAAATTCTCCTTCACACAGAGGACCCTTTATAGGGCATTTCTGCCTTGGCAGGTCATTTGACAGACGAACACTGCAGCTTCACCTTGTTTTTGTTGCCTTCTCACTCTATAAGCGATGCTAGATATATAACATCAGCATTGTGTATTATGCATGTATGTAGACCTTGCCGCTAGTACGTTCAGAATCCAAAGATGTCCCATTGATTTCTCTGAAATGCAAATAAAGCAATCTATCATATGCTCCTTCCTCATTGAGAGTCGCTGTTGAGCTTTGATCTTTCCCAATAATACTGTCTGGACATCTAAAGCAAAATCAAGTTCAGGGCTGAATGCTGCCCAACCATGTATTGAGGAGTACAACACTGATTATCCAAAAGATGTCAAGAAGCTTTAATAATGACAAAACGAACCTACTTCTACACATCTATGTACTTGTTCTGTTGCCAATGTATTATTATGTTTTCCGAAAATATATTGATTAAGACTAAAGTAATAGACCAAAGAACATTGGTGCATGCAGTGTTTTAAGTTTATCAATCTCTTAAATTAGACCACAGACCACAATGTCAATTACAAGTCCCTTCAGAATGCAGATGGCATATTGGGGTCAGGTAAGATGCTTTTATGTTTTTTTGATAGAGGTCTCTTATTCTCACCGAAGCTGCATTTATTTGGATCAAAATAAAAACAGTGATATTGTGATATATTATTACAAATTAATATAACAGTTTTTCTATTTGAATATATTTCAAAATATCATTTATTCCTGTGATGGCAAAGCTGAATTTTCAGCAGTCATTACTCCAGTTTTCAGTGTCACATGACCCTTGAGAAATCATTCTGATATGCTGATTTGCTGCTCAAGAAACATTACTTATTATTATCAATGTTGAAAACACTCGTGCTGCTTAATATTTTGTGAAAAACGTGATTTTTTTTTCAGGTTTCTTTGATGAAACAAAAGTTCAAAAGAGCAATATGTGAAATAGAGATGTTCGTAACCATGTAAAAGCCTTTACTTTTGTTACATTTTAATTTTTTACTTTATTTTATTATATATTCCGATTCCGAAATAATTCAAGCTGAATTCCGCAACTGACCAATCAGAATCAGGTCTTCTACAGCCCTATATTTTCCTATTACTAATTTAAATGGTAATTTTAGGTTTTTCTAAAACATTTAAATTGTGACACTGCATGAGTTTTGCATTTGTTATTCATTGCAATATGGAAATAAGTGCAGTTCATGAAGTGCAGGTTTCCTTTAAAGCGATAATGAAAGCGGGTTGCCGTAGCCGACAGCTGGGGGCTCTAGACCGTTGTGTGGGAGGGAGAATGACAGCGGCTCTGTGCCTCTTCTCTTCAGCTTGTGCAGGAGGATATTTACACCGAGGAACCCAAACAACACCACACGTATGATGAGAATGCTTTTTATGCAAAGAAGGGTTGTGGTTACATGGAGTAGCTAACATGCCAATAAGGGAGGAAAGACACATTTAGTTGTTCGGGGGTAAGATTTAACCTGTTGTCTTTCTGATGACTGTATCGCTTTTGTCTCTTAAAATGATGCATGAGCGCTGCTAGATGAATAATGGAAACATATGCTGCGATTTGATTACATGACTGGCTATAACAAGTCCTGTGAGAGCAACAAAGCAGCCCTACAGATAGCGGAACAGTATGTGAGATTTTCTCGCATGGATGGTGTGTTTTGAAAAGAAGAAATTGATTAAATTCCCTCGGGGGGAAAAAAGCGTGCTGATATATACACTCTAAAAAATGCTGGGTTAAATACAACCCAGTGCTGGGTAAAATAGGGACAAACCCAGCAATTGGGTTGTTTTGGCCCAGCGGTAAAACAACCCAATTGCTGGGGTTGTCCCTATTTTACCCAGCACTGGGTTGTATTTAACCCAGCATTTTTAGAGTGTATACAGCTGCTTTTTGCCTTACTGCTAATTAAACGTGTTAATATGTTGCGAAGCTTGTTTATTTTTTCATATAATTTGGATTTAGAGTAATTCCGTCCTATTGTTTTTTTCACTAGACAAATTTAGAGGTTCAACTTTTGTTAAACACACAACGGCACTATATCACAACATAGCGCGCAAGCATCAGGTCCTCTTATTGTTCCTCTTACATCCTTCATCTGCAATTATCAGCCCATGTTGGCTCCGTGCACCATTTTATACATGTTATTATATTTTATAAAAGATTTTAAATATATTTACTTTCTTTCTAGTGCATATTATAATGATAATCTATAGAAAATGACTAAAATGAGTGTGACAGGTCTTGACAGTTCATGGTTCAGCAGCAGGTGTGCTTTTTACTTGCATGTCTCAGCTCTGTTTACGTACAATATCTTAGCCATCAGCCACTATGATATATAGGCTACATGACAGCTTTGTGAATATGTTGTTGTACATCTTTGTGTTTGGCTACAAACTGTAAATGATTGACAGTGAACTATTCCGTTTGGTTTATTCCTCACTCACTCAATGCAACACGGTTGGGTAAGGCACAAAATGTGCCCGACCACTCTGTAGTCAGTGACGTGACACTGATATCAAAGATTGCTTTTCTTTTGAACCAGTCCTTCACTGCCAGCCCCAGCCTCTTCAAAGGATGCATTGGCAGATTTCCAAGATGAATTAAAACATAAAATAGGCTTATGAAAACATTTTTAGATGTCGTTTTAAGATTAAGACCGTCATTATTTCCTGTGATTAAGGTAATTACAGGGTGTTATTATGGACTTGAAACTGTTAAGTGCTAAATATATTTTAATAATTATGAATATATTTTAATATGAAATGTAAATTATATATAATTAACATAATAAAATAATTATTTTATTATTTTTATTTTAATATAGAATAATTATTTTCAATTTTAGTGTTTATAATTTAATTTATTCCTGTGATGGCAAAGCTTCAGTGTCACATGATCCATCAGAAATCATTCTAATATGCAGATTTGGTGCTCAAGAAACATTTATTTTTATCAATGTTAAAAACAGTTGTGCTGCCTAATATTTTTGTGGAATATCTTTTGACTTGTTGTGTGTGTGTGTGTATATATATATATATATATATATAGTCTATGATGACAACACTTAAATGTAATGGATGTAATGTGTTTCATCCAATCCGTTTTGTAAGTTGCTGACACACATTCATCATTTTCATCCTCTTACAGATCATATTTATGACACTGTTAAAGAAGGCCTTTTCAGATATTCCAGGCCAAAAGAGGGACTATGGGCTCAAAAGGAGTAGAGAGACGTAAACAGGCCACCCCTGGCCAGACTCCCGAGGGCAATGTGGTGATGAGCTTTAGTTTCGAGAGCTATCAGCTGGAGGAAGAGGACTGTCAGGTGAAAGACATCTCAGATAAAGGAGTGCTGGCCCTTTCAGAACCTGGTGAGTTTCTGCTGCATATGATGTGCCTCAATGTAACTACAAAATGTCATTTGAGACACTATTTCATTTATGTTGTGCTCGTACAATCTGTATAAATACAGATTTTGGTTTGGCAAAGACTCAGCTTGGTTTAAAAGGTTACAATGCTTGGCATGTGCAAGCTAGGTCTAATCATGTTAGGTGGAGAGTCTGTTGTCCCCTCACGTTGCCTGGATACAAAGGTCATGCTTATTAAATCAGTGGAGTAGAAGAACATACACATTTATCTTTAGAATTTGCTATTCTCTTCTAGCTAAGCATATAGATATATTTTACATTTGATGTAAGTGTTTCATTTTTAAGCATGATTTCATTTCTTCCATCTCTTAAATTAGGTATGTAGTGTTGAAATACTAAAGCTGTACAGAAGTGCGTCCATCAATCAGTTTCTCATAAAGAAAGAGAGAGAGAGCAACATGTCAAATGTCTCATACATATGCATAAATATACTTCAAAGAGACAGCACACAGGCTGATAGACAAATATTTAAAACGCACATTTTGAAATGTCATACAAATAAAACACGAAGAGGGCTTTTGTTTATAACTCTCACTTGTTGTTTGTGCATACAAATTGTGTGATTTTTGTGCATAGCGTTTGAAGAACCTATTCCAGATGACCGTTACCATAGGATCTATTTTGCCATGCTCCTGGCTGGAGTGGGCTTCCTGCTGCCTTACAATAGCTTCATTACAGATGTTGACTACCTGCATCATAAATTTGAAGGTACTCCATTATATTTATGGACTCCATATTTTAGCTAGCATTAAAGGGTTAGTTCACCCAAAAATGAAAATTCTGTCATTAATTACTCACCCTCGTGTTGTTCGAAACCCGTAAGACCTTCGTTCATCTTCGGAACACAATTTAAGATATTTTTGATGAAATATGAGGGCTCATTACGCCGAATCTGGGTCGGCGCCACCACACGCTCGCGTCATGATATTGTAATGAACGCGCGTCCACGAGTGACGCAGTAGAGACGAAAATGTGGAATAAAGTCGTTATTTTTGTTTTCTTTGCGCAAAAAAGTGTTCTCGTAGCTTCGTAACTTTACAGTTGAACCACTGATGTCACACGGACTACTTTGCCGATCATCTTGGTACTTTTCTGGACCTTGAATGTGGTAGTTACTTTGCTGTCTATGGGAGGGTCAGAGAGCCCTCAGATTTAATAAAAAATATCTTACATTTTGTTCCGAAGATGAACGGAGGTCTTACGGGTTTGGAAAAACATGAGGATGAGTAATTAATGACAGAATTTTCATTTTTGGGTGAAATAACCATTTAAAATTAAACAAATTATGGTTGAAATTTCTGTTAATGATCGTGAGTTTTAAAACATGTTGTACTTGTGTTTTCATGGTTATTGTCAGAATTGTTCATTATAATATATATATATATATAGTCTGGCCACCATTTATATACAGTGGTGTGAAAAAGTGTTGGCCCCCTTCCTGATTTCTTATTGTTTTGCATGTTTGTCACACTTTAATGTTTCAGATCATCAAACAAATTTAAATATTAGTAAAAGATAACACAAGTGAACACAACATGCAGTTTTTAAATGAAGGTTTGACATATGAAATGATTTCTGTTCATATTATGGAATAAAATCTATCTTATATATATTATGCATTAAACACTAGGCTATAGCTTCCAGTTATTCAAGCACCACAGTCTTGACAATATAAGCTCATTTAAAAAAAAAAACTTACACAGGAAAAAAAAATCTTTTTTGTATTTTGTACAAAATATATATTTTTAAATGCTGTTGCCTCAGTCTATACGAAATATAAAATGTCTATGCATATTTAAATGGTCTCAGATTACGGGAAATTATGCTATTATACGACAATCTGACTTTCCCTCAAGTATAAAATAACAAGAATTTCTCATGTGTGAAGATTTATCTGTTATCATTTTCCCACACACCCTTGTTTTCACAAAACCACCTGAGAAGAGTACTGTGGAACCATTATGTATAGTAGAGTTGTAACCATGCTGGCCTAATTAACTCCATTGAGAATTAAAATAGGGTGTAGTCTCGGTCACAATGAGGCTTCTAATTTTGGTCTAGCCGCTGGAGGTTTTCTGGTGTCTAATAGTACAGTTCCTGAACATTTTTCACTCTGCTCTAGTTCTCTGGCGCTGTATTTTGAGCAGCCTCCAAAACTCGAGAGGAGATGGATCAACTCGGTGAAAGTTAAACGGGCCAGAATGTGCCAACTGACATCCAATTCATCACTTGGAATCATCTTCTATCTTTTGTTATAATCCCACTTTGCTTGCTGTCCTCTAAACTAGATATACACCAATAGAACAATGTCAGACGTGTAACTTTATGGTTGTTTGGACTGACATTGAGTGGTTATCCGGCGTAATTACATGGCTACTCACCAAACATATACCCCCGGTTTCACAGACAAGGCTTAAGCCTAGTCCCAGACTAAAATGCACTTTCAGTGCTATTGTTTTGCCTCAAGATGCACACCAGTAATGTTTATTTCTAAGGAACGTTTATAAAAGATACTTAAATGTCCTAACTGAACTATGGCCTAAACCTGGCTTAATCTAAGCTCTGACTGTGAAACCAAGCCCTAATGTTTAAATGAAATATTGGTTTGACTTGAAATTGTTTACATTTCTTACACTACTATTCAAAGGTTTGAGGTCAGTAAGAGTTTTTAATGCTTTTGAAAGTCTCTTATGCTCACCCAGGCTGCATATTTCAGCATCATTACTCCAGTCTTCATCCAAAATCATTCTTATATGATGATGTACTGCACAACAAACATTACTTATTATCAACGCAGTGCTGCTAATGTTATGTTTTTTATATATGTATCCAATAAGCCTATAGTAACAAGAATATCGCAGCAGTACTTCAGTGATTATAATGAAGTACTCTAAGGTCATTTTCACTGTTTCTGTTTGAAAGAAGAGAGAGTGAGTCCAAGGTGTGATATGAGAGACATGAAATAGGGTCGGTTTCAGACAGCCTTGCTATGGATGATGGTGAATATTAGGAAATACCTGACTGCTGAATGCCACAACTGACCAATCAGAATCAAGTATTCCAAAGAGCAGAGAAATAACTCATTTCTAACTCACACTGTTACAGTTTAGAAACTCCCGTCTCCCGTCTCCCTGATTTATCATTGTTGTCATAGTTCTGTTGTCACTGTTTTGAACAACTATCTAGCCTAGTTTATTATGTTTCTTAGCTAAAAACCCAACATTATCTCTAAATATGCTTCTTAAGAGTTCTTCCCTTGGGAAAGTATGGGATTTTCATTTGTGTTCCCATGCAGGCTGTGGTGGAATATTCTTGTTCTTCGTAGCGAGCTTCTCAGCGAGTCAAGGACATCGCCACAGTTAAATTCATACACATTCTCTGACTACACAGTATCTGATAGCTGTTTCATCTAGCACAAGTGTCAGCACACTCAAGCAATACTAGATGTGTATGTGTTACTTTCCGCCAGGGACACAATGGAGATTTTTTTCTTAAAGGTTAAACTCATGAAAAAGACATGTGAATGGCTTAAACTGTGAGTACGTCAGAGCGAGAGTCTCAACCGTGACAGACATACTGATTACAAGGAGGTGCACTCTCAAGGAATGGAGCAGATTGTGAGCATCATACCATCGTACAACAATTTCCCCCGCTGTGAGACCTCTAATCGAGTGTTGAATGTTTAATGACATGCCAGACACTGTGGCCCCAATGTTATGACTTATGCCTTTTTAGCCAGCAAGTGTACTGACAAGTCCCATTTTATACAGACAGATTTCTACTAATCATCATATAAGGGACTAATTCAACAACAAATTACACAGTCAAACTATTCAATCTATTTATGTTAGCTAAATTTTAAAGTTTATTGATTTACACTTTCTTTTTTATTCTGCATTGCAATAAAACAGAATTTTACTAAACTATGTGCATTGCTGGTGATGAGTCTGTAATAAGACAGTACGTCAGTATTGGGACATATTATAACATAAAATTGCAAAAAGACTGTTTCCATTTAAAGTTCACTCAAATTCTCAAGAATTCTGTCATACTCGCCCTCATGTTATTCCAAGTCCATGTAACTTAAAATATCCAGATCTTGTAAAGAGATATGTGTGTTTTATATGATGAACTGATTTAATTTAGACTTTATTTTTACACCTTAACAATAATCAACACACATACTTGGACTAAACTGCTCGATATGGATTCGCCATTAGATGTTTTGGTAACCTGGACTTTCTATGGAGGGACAGACACCTCTCAGGTTTCATTTAAATATCTTTTATATTTGTATTTTATGGGTTTGGAATGACATGAAGCTTTTTTTTTTTTTGGTTAAACGTGCCTTGAAAGCTATTTTATATATAATAGACTTACAAATCATGTCTTTACTCAAATACACGTTATAAACCTATAATAATGATTCATATTATAGAGCTGTCAGGACAGATTTTGTGGGAGACTGCATACATACCTCATTTGCCCATTCATGCCACAGCATATGGTTAGGTTACACACAGAAAAGTAGATCTGGCTGTGGGTAGTGTGAAGCTGAACGTTTAGTGTCACAGCTAACGATAAAATTTGACCATATTCAAAACGGTAACCCTGAAGAGCTGAAGCACAATCAAAACTGTTCTTCCACAAGACTTATGAATTTTTAACCACTAGAGCAGCGGTGGCGAACTCCGGTCCTGGAGAGCAGCAGCCCTGCAGAGTTCAGCTCTAACCCTAATTAAAACTCACCTGCCTGTAGCTTCCTAATAACCGTTCAGACCTTGATTAGCTTGTTCAGGTGTGTTTGATTAGGGTTGAAGCAAAACTCTGCAGGGCTGCGGCTCGCCAGGACCGACGTTCGCCACCCCTGCACTAGAGGGACAAAAATTAGCTTTAGTTTAAGCAAATTAAGCTAAATTAATATTGAACTTCAGATCCAATCGGTTATCCAGATCGAGAAGTCAGCTGATGTTGCCAAACTGCGCCGTGTCCTGATTGACTGATGATCCGATCTGCTTGATCAGATCAAGGTGATCACATGTTAACGCCAAGTGTAAACGCAGCCAGAATCACTCAAATATCAGCCATTCATAAGCGCACTGCACTCCCAGTGTAATGGACAAGTTTATTATCTAATTAATAAATAGGCTATTAAACCTTTTTAGCATTATTAGAAGTACTGAGTGACTGATACCATCTTTGTCATGGAAAACGCTCTCGGTTACTCACGTAACCGGTTCCCTGAGATGAGGGAACGAGACATTGGTATGGGAATTACTCTTTCCTCCAAAAACTACTGAAGCCTTATTGAATCACGCCAGTGAAACTGGCCAATAGCGTTCAAGCGCGCAAAATATGAGGGGCTCCCACTCTATATAAAGCAGCGCTTGTAAGTCATCTATTCAAAATCTTGACTGAAGCAACTTGGCATTCTAAGATCCTGAGCTAGGTGACACGGCAATAAGAGCAATGTCTCGTTCCCTCATCTCAGGGAACCGAGGTTACGTGAGTAACCGAGAGCGTTCCCTTTCGATTCGGTCACTCTACATTGCTATGGGAACGTATAAAATCCCGCCGTGTCACAGCGATGGAGTCTGGCTCGACTAAGTATGTCAAGTTTCACATACGGAACTGTAATGATATTAGCATCACACCAGGGGTGGAATTAACGCCGGTGAAACAGAGAATGTGAAACGGCGATGGTGCGTCTCCGGCACCATCACATATAGATTAGTTGAAGTTTGTT